AAGAAGAATAATGTCGGTTTAACAGCGTTCCAACATGCCAGAAGGGCACTGAGTCTCGTATGTTTGTTAACCAAGTTAGCATCATCAGGAGAAAGAGAAGACCCAAAAGTGTCGAGGGTTTACGCGTTGTGGAGTTATCATTCGAAAATGGGGGAGCGAAGTATTCGACAATGACATTTTGCATAAGTTTCGACCGTGTTTCCGTGTGTTTCAGACCGTTTCTCAAGCGTTTTCAACCGTTTTCGATCGTTTTTCGTGCGACCGTTTTGCGTGCGATCGTTTTTCTTGTGTTCTCGATCAATTTTCCTGCGTTTTCTATCGTTTTTCGTGAGTATTCGATTGTTTTTCATGCGTTTTCGATCGTTTTTCGTGCGTTTTCGACCGTTTTGCATAATTTTTCAATTTTTTGTTAAGGGTATAAGGCGGTGAGGTTGGATAAAAAAGAAGAAATGATTTTGAATAAAAATTCATTATACATTTTTATTTTGGTAATATATCACAAAGCCATTTGTATAAAATATCTACGTTTCGGAGACTGTAATTGTAGTTGGTTCGATTGCGAATGTGATGCATACAGGGTAAGACATCTTCGTTGTTGTCGAATGTGGGAACCATCCATCTTGTATTGTCATAGCCCTCCAAATTCACAACGCGTGTAGGTATATTCAACTCGTGGAATTTTTTCAGTTAGAAAGTCATGTTTTTTTTTCCCCGCACATAAATGATCGACACTTTGTAGATTTTCCGTGAGGATGGTATCCAATTAATTATATTCCACAAAGCCAGAAGAATACCTCAATCCGTGAATGTTTCGTTCCCAGTAACAGGAGGTACGGCGATCTTCTTTACTCAAACAGGAAAATGGTGTGTTTGGCAGCAGTAAAAAGTAACTAAACTGAATTCCAATCCTAATGGCTATTACTTTAGGATGGACTTTTTGCTCGACGGTGAAGCCTTGAATATCTACAACAGCTATTCTCATGTTGACTCTTTGATTGATACTGAAGCAAAATCACATGTTCAGTTCCATTTTTTAAAAATTTTGCTGAGTGGGAGGTGTTCTATGACAGTGTCGTGCACAATGATGAGATAGGCTCTAATATTTTGAGAAAATTCCTCGGATTCTTCGATTTCAAGTTTTACATCAACACTGGAACTTTTGATGCTCTCATCCCTTCTGGAACAATCGATGACAAAGAGAGCTCTGTCCGTAAAGACGGTGGAAATGAGAAGAGGATTATGTTGATTAGTTGCACTCGTTACTGGTATCACCTTCAACTGATACAACTAACTCATTATTTCGCCTCGCAGGAGGTATATGGAAGAACATTTTCGTAGTAAAACTATCGTTTGTCAGCAGAAAATGAACTTCGCCCTTTATTTTAAGAAATGTGTTCATTTTTTGCATACAATGTTAAACTCTATATGTATATTATTTGAAAATAATAAAGACCTTTATTATTATTATTATTATTATATAGGAAAATGAGTGATGACAAATCATGAAATCAAACAAAGATTCAGCATTAAATGCTGATTCAGCATTGACAGTGATCAATGACACCTTGAGTGAGAATAGGAAAATAGGTGATGACATATTATGCAATCAAAAAATAAGCCTTTGTTTCGTCGCTTTGAGCCACGTGTCTGGCTTTATCGATAAGCGACAGCGATAATTACATATTGAATAAAAATTATTGTAGTCGGAAGTACAAAATTTGTTTTTCAGCATCGTTGACGACATATTCTACACTCTGAGGCTGGAACACTTTGTCTTGAATGTGTAAATTATTCAACTGCTTGAGACCCTTTTTCTTTTCCTCATATAATTGAATATCATTACTCATATGTTGAACACGTCTCTCAAATTCCTCTACTTCACGTCTGCATTCTCTGAATGCCATTATAATTCTAATGTTTGTCCACCAACGACGTAGGGAACATCGTTTTCTTTCCAATCCCATATCAAATGTATCAAATGCTATCAAGTATAATGAATGAGTCAATTTCGGTCCTGACAAAACCAACGCTATAAATACCCAACATTCGCAGTTACTTTCAATCTCTTACGTTGGTGTAGAGGCTGAGGACAATGTCTACCACGCGAACGTCCGGGGTTCGATTCTCATAACTATGAATTTTTTTTAATTAGAAATACGTGACTGAAACGTGTCAAGGGGGCCGAAGGGTGATTTGAAGTCTCGAAAGGGCCTGAGTGGTGATGTGGAGTACTAAGGGGTGCGAGGCAAGGGGGTCCACGCTCTTTGAACCTCTCCGATATTCATTCCATCCTGCGTCGAAGACGTTTCCCCCACTCACGTTGGCAGCCGTATCGGCCTTGTTCATCTACTGAGTTTTATGTTCTCTGGTGGGGGGAAATTATGTTTGTTTTGTATGGCGTGTGTTGCGAGGTTTGATTTATATACTATTGGGTTTATGTATGCCTTAAATAGATAAGTACTCTTTGATCATCCCCATATTGATTTCAATTTAAGAGCCACCGGTAGACAGCTGTTTCAGCCTATTAGGCATCGTCAGTACCATTCAGGCGGTCCTCGGTTGAAGACAAAATGAGAAAAAACCAAGAAAGTACTTGATAAAAATAGCTGCATAAACGCAAGCGCAGTTGTCGGTTGATTAGTCAAACCACCAACACTGACATAAAAACTTGGCAAGTTGACCTGGGTGTCACACCAATAATAGCTGGTTCCACTTATGTCTCGCTTGCGTTTACGCAGTCATTTTTATTGAGTACTTTTCTTGTTTTTTCACATTTTGTCTTCAATCGAAGACTCCCTGCTCGATACTAACGATGGCCAATAGGCTGAAACAGCTGTCTACCGGTGGCCCTTAAATTGAAATCAATATGGGAATTATCAGAATGATAATGCTACTAATTATAAATATACTCTTACACTCTTTCAGCTAGATCTCGGGTTGTCTTAATTTTAATAAAATCTCATCTTGAAATGCCATCGGAAAACGAATCCACATGTTTCTAGAAATGATATAAAATCTAGAAAGGTTAATACAGTCAAGCTGCTGGAAAATAATTCCAAATTCTTCCCAAATTTCTGCTACCGCAGTTGTCGGTTGATTGGTCAAACCACCCACACTGACATAAAAACTTGAAAAGTTGACTTGGGTGTCACACCACTTATGTTTCGCTTGCGTTTACGCAGCTATTTTTATCAAGTACTTTTTTGGTTTTTTCTCACTTTGTCTTCAATTGATGACCGCCTGCCCGGTACTGACGATGCCCATTAGGCTGAAACAGCTGTCTACCGATGACTCTTGAATTGAAATCAATATGGGAATGATCAAAGAGTACTTATCTATTTATTTTTTGATTTTCATGGAATTATTTTTCAGCAGCTTGACTGTATTAAACTTCCTATAATAATGTAAGTAACAAAAAAGATTTGAAGTTCTATAACTTCTGTTTAATTATCTGCGTGCGCCTTCGAGAGCTGGTCGTGCTGTCATCCTCTAGGCCCTTACTCTATCTGAACGTGTCATCCTGTTGTGTGTCCTTTTATACGGTCCGAACGCCTCAATATAGGTATTTCAGTTACTTTAGGAAAACTTGTCTGCATCTGGATTACATCAGGTACTATTCTTTGAGTTGGATCTTCTCTAGGCTTATTGTTTCTAGGAGTGTGTCTTGATTTCTTCAATATATTGAATATTAGGTCTTGTTGTGTTTTGATTTGTACTTGTTCCTCGATGAGTGAATTATAACTGTTAAATTTATGGATGTTCAAGTTTTCCCAAATGTTCGATCGGGAGTGGGGGGAACGTCGTCGACGCAGGATGGAATGAATATCGGAGAGGTTCAAAGAGCGTGGACTTTCTTGCCCTCGCACCCCTTAGTACTCCACATCACGCTCAGGCCCTCTTGAGACTCTGCATCACCCTTCGGCCCCCTGGTCACGTTTCAGTCACATGTTCCTAATTGAAAAAAGTTCATAGTTATGAGAATCGAACCCAGGACGTCCGCGTGATAGACATTGTCCTTAGCCTCTACACCAACGTAAGACATTGAAAGTAACTGCGAACGTTGGGTATTTATAGCGTTAGTATTTTCAGGACCGAAATTGACTCATTCATTATACATGATAGCATTCGATACATTTGATATGAGATTGGAAAGAAAACGATGTTCCATACGTTGTTGGTGAACAAAAATTAGTATTATAATGGCATTCGGAGAATACAGACGAAAAGTAGAGGAATTTGAGAGACGTGTCCAACAAATAGGTAATGATATTCAATTATATGAGGAAAAAAAAAGGTTCTCAAGCAGTTGAATAATATACACATTCAAGATAAAGTGTTCCAGCCTCAGAGTGAAGGATATGTCGTCAACGATGCTGAAAAACAAATTTTGTACTTCAGACTCCAATAATTTTTGTTCAATATGTAAACGTACCGAATGTGGGTGAAATTTCAAGGAAATATGCGTGAAGGCTAATGTTTATGGATGTGAACAATGGGAATAGATTCGTTCAATTCGAATAGATTCAGTCAATAAGGGTCAGTTAGCAGTATTTGCGCAGGCGCAATTCCAAAAAATATACCATTCAAATGTGAATTGAAATTGATATTTCAAAATCTTCGTCATTTAAAAACAAGAAACTGTTAAATTTGTTCCAGAACACGCAACGAAGCAAGAGAAAAAGAAGTCACAAATGGAATTTGACGTTTATAAAGTTATCATAGAATCTATGATGTCAGCATGTATTTTGATTAGAGTTGTACAACAATTATGAAACTCAATAAGAAAATGAATATTTTGATTGGAACAGTAATTTTTTTGTTTTATATCAAGTTGGTAAGAATATATAACATAGGTATGTAGAATTATCTCTGTCACTTATCGATAAAGCCAGACACGTGGCTCAAAGCGACGAAACATGATTTGTCATCACTTATTTTCCTATATACCTCCTGCGAGGTGAAATGATGAGTTAGTTGTATCAGTTGAAGGTGATATCAGTGACGAGTGCAACGATTTCATCTGAGAGTAAGTGTTTCTCGTGCTCACTTCATGAATTTTCATTGCAAGATTTTTTATACGTTTTTGACTTTTTCACAAAAGAATTTATTCAAATTTAATTTAATTCAAAGGTCGTGAGAGTTGTTGTTGAATTATTGAATTTCCAAAATTTTTCTCAGATTAATATACTTGAGTGTTTTTTTTACACACTTTTTCAGGATTAACGTTTCTTCAATTATTTTGTAATACAAAACGGTTCAGAAGTATTCACGTATTCCTCAAGCCAACCCTGGACTACTATTTTTATCCTACATACATCAGAAGATAAGAAATGACAATTGCTAATATTTCTCAAGCTTTAATAATGAATAAAAGATAAGGACCGGTAATTGCTGACATCCATTTTTCTCGAATACTTTCTCTTACGGTAATTATTGTATCGCACAATTTGTTTTGACGTTTTATCAGAGGGCAGCCTCATATAACCGGGAAACGTGATTATGAATTTCACTCGAGGATCTTCCAAGCTGAATAAGATTTTTTTTCGTATTTTATCTATTTGCCTTTGACAATGCTATAGCTCGTCTATATACACATTTATGTTGTGGAATTGGCTGGGGTGGTAGTGCGCGCGACTTACGATCGGAAGATCGTGGGTTCGATTCCCGCCTCGACCAGCTGGAATTATTTTCCAGCAGCTTGACTGCATCAACCTTTCTCGATTATATACACAGTGTCACCATTAAAGTGCGCACCTAATGGGAAACTTTTTTTTCGAAAAGTTTCAATGAAGTTTAACTTCGGCACTTGTCTGTGCTTTGAATTTACCTTAAAATGATGCGGCCAACTGCGACCCACTGACGTTCAGTGTTTGTCAAATTCAACTTTTTTTTTGAAAAAAATTGAAAAAGTGCATTTCTAGACCGAATTTAACGAAAAGTTACTCAAAAATGTTGTGTCTACGGCAATTTCATATCCATATGCCAAATTTTATGCAACTAGGTTGAAGTTAACGTTTTGCTTATTTTTGACAAATATTCCCTTTATTTTAAAAAACAAGTTGGGTTAATTGTCATCAATTCATCTATACATAACGAACTCATCATGGAGTTTAACTTTTCTGATACATTTTTACTCATAAGGACATTTTTAGAGAGGAATTAAAAATTTGCTATAAAAATTTCAACATGACTGGTGCAAAGTTTCAATCACTTGGCTATTTTCTTAAACAAACGTCAGTACCTTCAATTTTGAAAAAGCAGACACAACTCAAAAACTGCAATAAGTATTAATAAAATCACTAGAGTTGAAATTACATTGAAATTTCAATATTTAGTATTTACAGATTATTTATAAACACTAACTAGGGCGGTAAGTATACTGGTCCGTATTTAAAAATTCAAATATAGGGGTGGCCCAAGTCAGATGACACCCTGTATGAAAGATTCATGGATATATTTTGAGAGCCCACATCAAGTGCCAATGGCAAAATGTGGACAGATTTTCAATATGTCTGCGAATAAAGAAGATATAGCCAAAAAAATAATTTGGGATTTTTTGGTTTTTCCTGTATATCTCCAGAATCAAAAGAGCTTTATTCGATTTCTTTACATCATTGAATAGGTCTCTAAAATACGCAACTCTGCCATGATTTAACCGACACTCTATTCCTTATCGTTTACGAGATCCCCATGTACAGACACGATTTTGAATAGCCCTATTTGAGTATGTTCTTGAATCCTGTTTGGTATATTTATTTCATAGTTCTTTGGTTTTGGATTCTCTTGGAAAATGGAAAGTTTTTTTTCTTCAATTGTTTATTTGAAAACTTTGTTATACATTAGACATTTGACTGGTTTCCTGAAATAGAATACAATTTTTATTAATTTCTATTGCCTACTCTATTTCTATTACCGTTCAACAAACGTACCTACTCAAAGAAAAGGCAATAGAAATAAAAATTGTATTCTTTTTCAGAAAACCAGTCAAATGTCCAATGTGTTATAACAAAGTTTTCAAATGAACAATTGAAAAAGCCCCTAACCAGGAGCGAAACGTCTTGAACATGTATAGAATGTTTTTGGTTTAACAAATGAAATACCTTCACATAAATGTAATTTTTCAATGGGTATAATGATTTGATGATCTCTCTCTCTAAAGAGAGAGTTATTAATTGATACAATTTTGATTATTATTATGTTTTTGGTGTAGTTCTAGTGAGTTATTGTATAGACTGCTGAGATTATTAATGTCAGTTTTCCTATTCATACAATCAGAAAACTTATTATTTCCAACCATTTCAAGAGAAAGGCGTTTGGAAATACTTTTTTCTGTATGTAAAACTTTGATATCAGAAGTATAGATTCATAAGAAAAATTGCTAGGTGAACTATCACTACATAAATTTTCGTTGATTACATTAAAATTTGTATAACTGTCAATAATGAGAATAATAATTCTCATAATAAAATATTATTGAGAAGTTTTTGAGATGAGAATTTTCGATCAATATGTCTCCAAGAAGTCTGAGACTTTTTCGCTTGAGAGCAGGGTGTTCTAATATTTTTATTTTGTTTTTTTTTCGAAGAGAGTATTGAATTGATTTTAACTTATTTTTTATGAAGAGAATAGTAATTGATATATCTTCCTGAAATAGTAGGTTTGACATACCAATTACTAATCAAGGACTTATCAGTTTTACGGATGACTTTTGTATCAAGGAATGGAAGGGTATGATTATTCTCTATTTTAATAGTGAAATACTATTTTTATCATATATATTGACAACATCAAGAATTTCATGAGATTTGTCATAAGGTATTGCACAAATGACATCGTCAACGTATTTTTTTAAAAAACGAATTTCAAAACTCAGTTTGGGAAGGATGAGCTATGATTGAAGAAAAAATAGCTCCCAATAGTGTACCAAGAATTTGTTTGAAGTATTGACGGAAAAACAGATTTTTTTAAACAGATTTACCTTCGAAAGAAAAATAACTTGAGTTGAGATCAAATCAATTATTCCAATAATTTCTTTTGGTTCATTGAATATTTTCTGTTTATATCATTCCATCTTGCTTAAAAGTGAAATCATATCAAGACTGATCAGAATATAATATGGACGTAATGATTTTTCATTTATACAATTGGAAAAATCGAAAGAATCCTCAATAAAGATTTCATTTTCATAATTATAAGCATCAGTGAGTATTTTAGTGACCATTTGAGCAATTTTTTCATTTGGAGCATCAATGGAAGAAGTAATGGGCCTCAGTTTCATATCAGGTTCATGTATTTTGGGGAGTCCATAATATTTTGATATAGAACTACAAATCATGTACATTTCTGCTTCATCTTTTGATATCATTTTAGATTATTTCAAATCTGTAATGATTTCATTTGCCTTTTGTTGTATTGTTGAAACAGGATCTCTAATACGGGTGTTGTCAATTGATAAGTTGAAAAAAACTAATCAATACAGTTCATTGTATGATTTTCACTATAAAAAAGTTTTACAAAAACCGCGACACGTGTTTCGCTATACAATAGCTTCTTCAAACATAAACTGCCAGTTTATGCTGAAGAAATTATTGTATACTCAATGGTTGGAACCGCATATCGATATCTGTCATCATTTCTGGATTACAGCATGTTTTTCGGAAATTTTCATTTTCGAAAACTTGCTGTTACTTTTTTTGTCTGAAATTTATGGTTTCTATGAAGACATTTTCTATGCACTTTTTTACGTATATCCCAATCGTGTAAAAAAACTTATTTTTCCAATTGAGATATCAATAGTTATTGATGAAAAACTATTTTTCTTAATGTATAATTCAATAGAGCTTGAAATAACCTTTTCAAAAATGTAATACACTCGATGTTTTGCCAAAGTCATCTTGAAACGCACATTTTGATCAAGTAGGCCATGGACGATGCGGCTTTTAATAGAATTCAAATCTTTACTGGTAACTATCAAATTTTAATTCAAGTAGTAAATACGCTCTTCGATTAGTGGTATTTCTTCAATTTTCAAACATACTTGTAATTTGAGTATCAGAATTCTGATAAATTGGATACGTAGCCTGATTTATACGAACCGGGGAAATACAGAAGCAGCAAATAACAAGAGGTATCGAGAGAGAAGGCAACCTCTTAGAGACATTTACGGCAGATTGCGATATAACCTATTTGATGGTGGCCAAATTCAAAAGAAGAGACCAACATTATTTGAATCAAATAGTGATGAGAAGTTGAAAGAAATAATTGTTTCAGGAGCTGTTGCCATACAGGACCAGAAAGAATCATCAACTAAGACCAGGAAATTTTGATTTTCCGATAAATTGTATTTGGACAGACGAAGCTTATGTGGGCAGTGCCGGCATTTTTAACTGCTACAATTCTCATACTTGGGTACAACAAAATAATCATTCTATTGTGGAGCAGAGAAGTCAAGAAAGATTTGGATTCAGTCTGTGGGCAGGTGTTTTTAGGGGTACAATTATCGGCCCGTTCATTTATAATGGCAGTCTCACATCTCACAGGTATTCAGGAAATTTTAACCCCTTGATACGAATTGGAAGCAGCAATGATGCAAAGTTCTGCATTTCTCACTCCTAGTGAACTAATCGATTCGGCAAAAAACTTTCAGAAAAGGTGTCGCCTGTGTGTGGGAGAAGCTGGTAGTTATTTCGAACACCTTTTCTGAAGACATATATTTTTCATTGTTTCTCCTTCATCATCATTATTATTATCGTTGAAGTTTTATTTATCATCAGTGAATATAGTATACATTTTTGGCTGTTTTATTGAAACTATGCCTAAGCCCACTTAATTGAAGTGTGCGTTTCAAATTCTACATGAAAAAACTATGTATTTCAAAGATGACTCCAGCAAAACATAAAGTCTCCTACATTTTTGAAAAGGTTATTTTGAGCTCTATTGAAACATTCAGGAATAGACAGGGCGTCTCATTGGAAAAATAGTTTTTCATCAATATTTATTGATATCTCATTTGAAAAAATACGTTTTTTACACCATTGCATTCTATGTAGAAAAGTGTTTCGTAAATGTTTCCTTAGAAACAAGAAATTTTTGAAAGGAAAAAATTTACAGCAACTTTCCGAAAATTCACATTTTCGAAAAACATGCTGTAACTCAGAAACGATGATACATATTGGTAAACAGTTTTCACCAGTAATTGGATTTGGTTGTGTATGACATTCAGACACAACCGTCAGTTTCCATTTGTCTAGTTTGAAAACAGGAGTTTTCCTTCAGAAGTGTCCTATTTGGTCCCCTCTGTACAAGTACGTTTTCAAAAACTTAAAATGAATATCTTTTTACAATTCGGTTACTTATCTCTGGAAGTTCATTTTCTGTTTTTTTTTTGATGTCACCTACGTTCATGCCATCCTGGAAACCAATTTTAATAGACAAGATTCTCTGGACTAGTTGGTTTGTCTTTGAAACTAATCGTCTTGGGAAGCATCGTTTATCTCTGGTATTCGAGACTGTGATTCATCCAAACGCTAGTGATGAGACCTGGTGGGTCGACACAGTGGGTCTGGTGTTGAATCGCAATTCCATCTATCTGCGTTGCAATGAAATCTATAGTGAAAGACAAAGACGATCGATGTCATTGCTTGGCTTCGTAACTAATCGCCTTGAGGAAACTCATTTATCTTCGATACTCGAAGATTGAGTCTTCTGACGATCTCATAAATGACATCTTTGTGAAGAGAAATATCATCGCCTTCACTTTCAGGCCTGTTATTTTCAGAACAGTTCAGTGGTTCAGCCTAGCATCACTGATGGGACCGGATGAGTCGGAACAGGTCTTGTGTTGGATCACAAGTTCATCTAGCTGCCTTTCAGTGAAAGACAAAGGAGGATTATCTTTCGATAATCGATGTCAAAGCCTGGCTTCCCAACTGATCGCATCGGGGAGTTTCGTTTATTTTTGATATACGAGAATTGAGTCTTCTGTTGATCCCATAAATGACATCTTCATGGGGGAAAATGTCATCGCCTTTACTTTCAGGCATGTCCTTTTCAAAACAGTTCAGTGGCTCAGTTCAGCTGATGAGATCTGATAGATCGAAAGAACGCTGCTTGGTGATGTATTACAAGTACATCTATACTCCAGGAATATTAGTCAAATGAAGGCATGTATCTCGGAATTAGAGATAGTCAATTAAATACGTGTATAAACCTTTATTTCCGCGACTACAGATCATCCAAGGTCAAACTTCAAAAAAAACTTTAAAATCGTTATTGAAAATATATCGTTTCCCATGGGTTTTATCTGTTTAAAATCTGTTTTTCCGTTAATCAGCTGTCGCACTCCTATGAACGACAACCCTCAGAAGTCTGAACTGGTGCGAGATAAGGATTAACGAGGTATTACCTTTTAACATGTGATTCCCAACACGGGTTGGACGATAGCAAGTGAAAATCTATCGTTCAGACTACGGCTGGAACCACTGTCCAAGGGTTTTATGCTATTAATTTTATTCATAAATATTGTAAAGGAGTGAATTCTTTACAAATTTTGTTTGAACAAACATTTTTTCATATCTTGATTCATTTTCGTGATAAAGGGCAAAGCGCGCGCAGTGTTTAACTATTCAGAGTATCATACGAGATCAAGCTGAAGTCCCGATTAAAAACTTGTCGTATGTTGTTAATAAATTATTGTTAAATATATATTTCTGAATAATACACATTTTTTATTGATCTAAAAGGTTATACACAGTGTTTCAGTTCAATGAATTGATGAATTTTAACAAACACTGTTAAATTATTTCAGACCGGGTTATGAAATGTATTTATCATCGAAAAAAGAAAAGGACTTGGAATTGAATAAGAATGCTATTTGGGATATTTCAAACTATACAATGAAGAAAAAAAAATGTTATAGATACCAGTAAATAATGAATACATATACTGAAAATTATCTCTCTGATGTAGGGGGTTAGAGAATCTAGGAAATTCCAACCTATCAAGAGAAATATAAAAAATATAGATAGTAAAAATTGTAAAAAGTAATTGAATAGGACTGGCAGATAATTGACGAAAATCCATATTCAAAATAATTATTATAGTTTTTTGTATGATTTTCACTTTAAAGGGTTTTACAAAAACCGTTTACGCTTGAAAAAGCTATTGTATAGCAAAACACGTGTCGCGGTTTCTGTAAAAACCCTCTATAATGAAAATCATACAATGAACTGTATTAATCAGTTTTTTCATTGTAAAAAGTGTTATAAAAATACTCAGTGAATAATTTGACGGAATACCAATGGAAACAATTTTTGAGATTCATCTGCTGAATTTTCTATAGAGAAAATAGTGATATCAGGAGAAATCTTGGGGTTGAATAATGCTCAAAAATATGGTATTCATGTATTGCTTTAGGATTTTCAGGTTCATTAATAGCTAATGTAGACCATCAAACAGTGACATCAATGATAATATTAATAATATAAATATAAAAGTTCATCAAACAATGAATAGTACAAGTCATCCAGACCTTGGCTATATACCCACAAGATCAAGGAAGCTCCAGAAAAGTTTCTGAGCACATGGGACCTTCATATATGGAGCTTTCAACTAGAGCTACAGATGTATCATGTAATGTATCTGTTGATAACGGATTTCAAACACCGTTGATATATATTTATTTACATGAATAATATGTCGACTCATCAATGAATGTGAACGTTCAGGGCCGGAGAAGCTATTTTTTTAGTTTTTTGGCCGTGCTCTGTAGGTTTCAATGTCCAATGCCCATTGGGTCTACTACTGCGGTAGACATCATCAAAAGCGATAAGGTGACGATCAAAGTGCTCGGGTTTTTTCTCAACACAAATTTCTTCTCACTCTTAGTACTATTTGAAACAAATCACTGGTAGTAGTCAAGAGTAACATTCAACACTGCTTCTTGTTACCTATTTTTTTTAATGAGACTAGAAGGTCTTTTTCTCTCACATAAATATTTAGGGACTAGAAAACAACTTTTTTTCTGTAAAATACTCTGAAATTTAATTTTTTTAACGTTCTGCATACAATTTGTAATCTTGTTCAATTGAATCTTGTTCAGGAGGCACATTCCTCAGCCCATGTATCCGAATTAATGAGGACATCACTTAGTTGGTTTTTCAAATTATTTAGGTTGCAATCGAACTGAAAACATCCTCGCGGTGTTATTTTTTGGATAACATCCTTTTGTTTGTAGTAGATGTTGACATGGTAAACCCCAAAATTAGCTTGTCTCAATTCAAAATAGATGCTGCTTGCGTAGTATGGAGCGTGAGGCTCATATGCCCCGAGAGCTGAGAGTATTTGGACGATATTGTTATCGTGAGCGCTATACATTCTGAAAAATTGACCACTGGAAGGATTTTCTCTCATTTTTTCGAAGTGGTCTATCACTTCATTAAGGAATGTTCCAGCTCCTAAAAAATATTGTTTTGTTATGATGATACGAATGAAACAAATGGATACAAATGAAGTGATATGAAAATATTGTTATCATATTTCTAATCCACGTTTGTACGTTTGTTTGTGTGCGCTTGATAATGTTTCATCGTGAACTTTATCAGTTCGGACTTCCATTATATGATATGATAATACGATTCGAAATTCCTGGAAGAACAAATGAAATTGAAAATTCAAATGAATAGCTGAGAACAACAATTATATCTAGCAAAAAACCCTGAAATGAAAATACTATGAAGTGAAAATTAGGCAATATACTGGAAATGAAACAATTGGAAAAAACTAAAAATTGAAAGATTTCAAGCCAAGTTACTACACAACGTTTCGATTGTTAGTATCCACAATCGTCTTCGAGTGCTGACTGGACTATTCATCCGAGAGATGACTTTTTATAGATCATTCGGGTGCTTTCACCTATAATCTTTCTCTATCTCCGCTTCACCGGTTCAGCGGGGGATGAACGTTTGGCTGGAGTTCAACGTTTTCCGCTTGATTATGGGTTTCCATATGTTTCATATTTCTACGCTAGCTTGGCTGACTGCGTAATTAGACAACGTATGTGGAGTATCTTTGAATTCCCTCCTCAGAGTTCCTTCTTGAGAATGATCTCAATTTGAGATCATTTGATGTTATGTCAATGAATCCAAACATGCTCTGCTCTTTCCGATTTGCTGTTTCCTCCTTATTGTGTGTTTTTCTTCTGCTCAGCAATGCGGACTTTGAATAGTCTCTTAGTTTAATCGATATAGGATTTGCCACACTCTCAGTGTGGCAAATCCTATATCGATTTTTGGAATCGCAGTCCGCGTTTGGTGGCCTGGTCTTCGTGAGACTGCTACGTATGGTGTTTCCAGATCTGAAGTAGGTTCTGATGTTGTACTCGCACCCAATTCTTTTTATCCTTTTCGACAATCCTCTGATGTAGGAAAGGCAAGCACTGGTCATGACGGCTTCTCTTTCTCTTCTAATCAAAGTCTGTTCTACCATCAATCTATAGTTACTATTCCATTGAAGATCGTTTTTGATTATGTCTAATTCCCTTTTGAGACCTTTATTCGTATTACAAAGTCAAGAAGCACGGTCTACTACAGTCTATTCCAGATTCCAGTTTTCAGCGTGTAACAGGCAAAACAATTGGCAGAGAGTAAAGAAGTTTATGCAGATATCACTCATTTTTTAGGTGTACTCAGTAATAGTTGACTACTCTCAATCCTGAGAAGTATTCAATTACATGTTTGTTTGAAAACTTGCGAAGAGTGATGTTTGCACATTGATAAATAATGAAATACATATGTATTGATCTACTGAACATGCTGACTCCTGAATGAAACCGATGATTTTTGGCAATTTGAAATTCAAGGGTGTGGTGATTGTCGCTACTGATGAAAAACTAGAATCGATAAACATTAATTTTATTGTAAACGGAAATATACTTGAAATTCAAAACTTTAGCAAAACATTGGCAGTATGTTTTTTTCATTGTTTTCTACAAAAATACTTCATTAACAAAAAAATGTTTTTTATATATAACCTCATATGGTTTTCATCAATTCACCAATGTTTTTATTCCCTGTTGCTGATATACTCATTTCTCACATAGAAATTGTCTTACTACTACAATATTGTCTTAGTTGGGACGAAAACATGTTATAACCTCACTCTTAGGCTCTTAGTCTTATTGAAGTTGTTGAAATGAGTTTGGGTTTTGTTTCATAACAAAAATTCGGTGTCCACTTTGGAAATGGATTTTATCCCGTCTTCAAAAAGAGGTATATAGGAAGAAAAGTTGGAATTTATGTTGATCAAATTAGATTGACCACAAAACACATTCTTGTGAATTGTTGAGACGTCTAGATGACAAAATACTTTTAGACGCCTCCCAAAATTAAATTAAATGAAATGAAATTTAAGGAAAGTTAAAAAGGTTCAAATCCAAACAGTCTAATGTCCACTCTCTTAGGTAATAATCATGAGTACCAACCTGGAATATACAAGGTATCATGACAAGTGGACATTACCATAAGCAATTATAAATTAAAACAATGAACTGTACTACTAACGCATTCAATAACCCCCATTACCAAAAATAATGGTTGATTCAGTTGCATATGAAATTATGTAAATCAGTTTTGAGGTATCAGTTTCATTCATCTTCTGGTGATACTAACCTAGCAAAACGTGCTTTCTAGTTTTGGAAAATATATGGAGTGTCTTAATTTTGAACAGTTCATAAGATGAAAAGGTATATCCCATATGTTTTATTTTTAAAACTCCTTATTCACAACTTGAGAAAATTTTTTGTGTAGGTAAAAAACTAACTAGGAAGAATAAATCGAATTTTTTGTCACTCAGAAAGGGTGTAACCTGATATTCACTAAAATGGGTGAATTTTTCTATTGTTTGAATGATGATTTGAAAATTTTCTCTGAGTGTACTTAGGTGAATTCTATTCGAATCCATAATTTTAAACCTCGTGGAACCTGGAAGCTAAATCTATCTCTATGAACTCACTATTTCGAGAGATTTGTCGAATCGGTATTTCTTTTAGAAAACGTTCCGCTATTATCATCATCAACAATGAACAAGTTGAAAAATTCAGATTTTTTTTTCAAAATCTGTTTTATGTTAACCAGCTGTATCCTATTTACGAACAATAAATCTCAAGAGTTTAAACTTGTGCGAGATGAATATTAAAGAGGTCTAACCTTTCAACGTGCTATTCATAGCACTTGATAATTTCATAATTTCAGGCTGTAATTAACTTAAGGTACTATGTTTAGGAAATCTCACCAAGACGAGCCAAAGTTGTACTATATCCTAAACTCTGGAATAAATATCCACCTAGTGTGGTCAAAGGTTCCGGAAAAACTGCTTCTGTCCAAGGAGGTAGATCATACTCAAATTCATTTTCAATAAAAAGGGTATCGAAAATGTCGCCAATGTCACTCAGTGAGGTGATATTATCGCCACTGTATTGGGTAAGGTATTTGTACGTTTCTGCGTATGTCTTATCAATATCCTTATAATATGGTTCATTTTCCAGAACTCTTGATCGTTCTCTTGAATAAGCGGCACACTGGGGAAATGTATTTATAATATTTGAAGGTGAAGGGTGAATGGGAATGGGACTCCAATGTATGTCTGGATTCCAAAGTTCGGTTCTTGTAGGTGGAAATAATCCTAATACGTTGCATTGAGCAGACATATGAGTTCTATCGACATCTGTAGTTTGTGCATAAAAGAACTCACTAGCGTAAGCTAATGGTAATGATTCGTTATATCTTTGACGAGTATATTCCCCCAGTTGGAAGTGTTGAGTTTTTCCAATCTATAAAAACCAATAATGAGAATATACAAACAGCAAATTTTGTTATTCATGAAAAAATGTCTGAATTGATTCTTGAACTATTAGTTGGAGGAAAAAAATGTCACAGAAAATCATTTCTAGGATGGAAGTACTCGAACAATTGTTGAACCCATAAAGTCTGTTAGAAATTTTTGAAGATTCATTGCTCTTTCCATGATCATTTGAATTTGGGATAATAAGGAGTAGTTAGTTGATTTTTCAAGAAGTTGTGTGAAATGAAATAAGACTGTTCGACTTCTTGATTTCATCTTTCATAAAAAACATCAGTTACTGACAATTTATTGAAAGGTATAATATATATAGCACTCTCAAGCGCTTTGTATAATCCAAATGCGATACATTTATTTTATGAATGGAGTGTATTTCAAAAATTCTTTATGAGTTCTCATTTTCATATTACTCAAGATACAGACATTGAAACATTCAATGTCATTCGAGAAAATTGTGAACTTCAAGTAGACATTTCAATTTTTATGTGAACACCCGATATAGAATTGTTTTCATTTGATCATGATTGAAATTTCTGGTAAACTTTTCCTTCATGATCATCCCAAGTTGGTGATAATTCAATATTATTTTCTGATATTCAGTTTCATCAGGAAATTATCGGACGGCCTCATTCATATTATATGCCTCAATGAACATCATTGAATATGTATTTCATGATCCCCTCATGTTGAATTTCGCCTGTAGGTTTATTCTCCTGATGATTTTGATTTCCGTACACATTTTGAGACTTTTATTGTTCTGAATTCTCGAAATGATATGAATTTCGAAAATATGGTAGTTGAACTTTCATAGAGAAGTGAAAACTCGCAAAGTTATCCTCATATCAAAATTTTTATACTTACATTGGTTAGTTGTCCCGGTGATACTGGCCAATTTGAAGGATCTGAGTAAGGATCATTGGCATAATGTGATATTGGGGTCCTTTGACCATGGCGAAAAACCTTTGAAGAAGTAACACAATGAAGATGATCTATTTCAACTAGAAGTAATAAAAAAACATATTTACCTGAATTACAGATATCAAAGTTGAAGCCCAAATAGGTGAGGTGGAAGTTAGTAAAAAAATTAATAGAACTTTAATCACCATCATTCCTGATGAATTAAGATAGCAGTTTCATCAGGGTCTACAAAAATCAACGAAATTAATTTACTTTTATATTGAGTGAATTATGTACGAGCTATATAAACATACAATAACTTGGTTTAATCGTTTATAATCCACCTCCATTGATACTATGAAAGAGATAGAAAATGTGGATAGGTTGCGTAAATATTTAATCCATTTAATCTCGAAGAAATATTTGTTAGAACTTTATATACCTGAAAGATGAATTGTCGGAATAAATTTTCAAGAGACGAAAATAATAGACACTTTGCTTCCATATCAAACTGATATTTTGAGTTCTTGACATTCATCCGACATTCATTTCAAAAATACATTCAGAAAAATTGAGTAATTAGAGCTATTGCAAGCAACAACGAGATTGAAAATGGTTTCTGAGGCAAATTAGATGGAAAAATGATTTACCAACAATATTAGTGAATATGTTGCCTGATTTGATAAGTGTAGGTGCACATACTTGTAGGGACAAATCATTCTTCTATTTGTTTGAAGGTGATTCACAATGTTTCATGATGAATTTTTACTAGTTCGGACTTCCATTGTCTACTATATAAAATGATTTGAAATCCCCGAAACAACTGAAAAAGAAGAATTAAACATGAATAGCTGAAAACAACAATTATATTAAGCAAAATAAACCTGAAATGAAATAATAGTGAAATAAAATACAAGTAAAATAGAACAATTGAACAAAAATAAATAAAAATAAAGAAATGAAAAAAGAAAATGAAAATAAAAAGTTGAGAGATTCCAAGTCACGTTAGTTCACGACGTTTAAATTTTTAGTATCTACAATAGTCTTCGGGTGATGACTCAGTCATCACTTTTTTTATTTTTATTTTCTTTTTTCATTTCTTCATTTTTATTCATTTATGTTCAATTATGTTATTTAATTTCAGGTTTATTCTGAATATTACTGGAGTTTTTTCCAACACCAAATCGTTATTTTCACACCTCGACACGTGTTTCGATCACCAAGTGATCATCTTCAAGAGGAAGATGTTTTATCTTCCTTTACTAATTTGAACATGTCAACACGAAACATGTTCACAAACTTTATCGAAGCTTATTAAAGGATTGTTTGAAGGTGGTTGACAATATTTCGTGGTGTATTTCATCAGTTCGGACTTCCATTGTCTGATATAATATAAATTGATTTGATAACCGTGAAAAAATCAAAAATAATAATCGAAAATAACAATTTTATTGAACAAAAAACTGAAATCACAAAGAAATCTTTCTGATTTTTTCAGGGTTATCGAATCAATTTATTTATATTACACAATGGAAGTCCGAACTGATGAAATACTTATTGGAGCAATTTTAACCAAATAGACATTTCATGAGTTCTGGTCTGAAATTACATGTTTGTGAAATACTAATTTATCGAAACTAGTATATTGTTATTACATATATGGACCTGTACTTTAAAAATCATCTACAAAAAATTCATCATGTTTCTCGAATACGTTTTTCCAAGTATGGGTGACATACGATAGGAGGTCGCATGTTGATCTTTGTTCCCGAAAGCCAAATTGATGATCGCTCAAGATGTTGAAGCCTTCCAAATATTTGAGAATATAGTGGTTTACTGAAAAATTCGAACTGTGTCTCTGAGATACGCGAAATATTCACAGAGATGGTAACTGTCCACCACCAACTTTTATCAGGAAGTACAATCGGGAAAAAAATTCAGCCTAAATAAATTCGGGGTTGACAAATATAATTGAATGTATAGTTACTAGAGAAGATTATGAAATGTAGCAGGTAGACAATATAAGAAACATTGCTTGCAATATGGATTATATATGCCTGATACACAGATACAATTCATAAAATATTTTTGAAAATTGGTAGTCTGAAGATTATAATATGATTTTTTGGCTACTGTTGATACATAGTTCTCGTATGGAAGTGTTTTGATTCCTGATAGATTACCATTTTCATCTTTTGAAACAATTTGGATAGAAAACTGTTTTTCGTATAATTCAGCGTTTATATAAAAGTATTTGTTTCGAAAGTAATTTTCTTTCGTGTAATTCAATGTTTATATGAAAATAACTGTTTCGACAGGACTTTTTCTTACAGTTTCTGTCGGAGGCTCACTTTTTTACGTGACTACACATCTATGTGTAGAGATAATTCTGTGAAATTGAATGCGTTCTTTCTTTCTTTGGAAGGAACATTTTTTGTGTTGAAAATTTTCTTTCCCAAAAAGTCATCCCCATTTTCCTGTTTCGATGCAGTCCTGTTTCCTCATCTATAATGGGTTCATTTCACATAAATCGTTCTCAAATTCCTTTGCTCGTTCACAACGAGATTTCCATTGCTCGAAAGAAAACTGTTTGAAAAAATTGTCGCAATATTACATGATATCGTTGTAATTGAAAGTAATATTTCCATTTGTGAGGTTATTTCTCAGTCGAACCCAAATCAACTCATTCAGATGCAAATCCGGGTAATATGGCGGTAACCGTACAATGTTGTGATTTGCTGCTGATATATTTCATACCACTTGAATTTGGGCTTATAATTATTTTAGATAGCATATAATTCAGGTTCCAGCATATTATTCTAGATGGAATATTCCTCTCTGATAACCGTGATTGGATATCAGCTTTTTTGGTTGATGTCGTTGGCATTTTGTCGATTTGTTTATTATGTTATGGTGCATTATCGATCATCACAACACTTCTCAATGGCTTTTAAACGGAATCAACTGTTTCCACACTGATTTTTTATAATTATCAAAAGTCATCCCATTTCAATAATCACCTGTATTATAATTCGATTTCCATATAATGGCATACACATACTTTTACCACCCGCATATATATTATGATAGTGAAATATTGTCTCAGACCTTCCATGGTGTGTAGCGTGAATATATCTTTCTTTCATACGGGTCCGCATTCTCTTCAAGAACTCGATTTTAAAAAGTCGAGTAGGCAGGCGTTCCATCAATATTTTTCATTTTCATCTATCGAAATCCAAGTTAATACATTCCTATCTCTCAAAGACTTTCTGCTACCCCGATAGTCAAAGTCTTATGTGATAGTTTCATGAATTTTCCTAAGCGAAGGAACTCGTTTCTCTTCGATATGGAAATTAATTATGCATCTGTGTAAAATAGTCAATTCAGAATAATTCTTGATACATTTTTTTTGGGTTAAAAATGGTTTCAACTCACTATTTTCCAGTTTTCTCATCTCTGATTCGATTTTTCGTACAATTCTCACGCAAGCCCCTGTGGGCTCAGTTACTCGTTCTTGAACCTTCAAAGATAAGATACAATATTGATTTTTAATTATTATTTCTTTTCAGTTCACTGAAGGCATTGTCAAAGACGACAAGCAACATCATCGATGTTGCCCCGCTCCGCTGGCTGATCTACTGCACATTATCCAATATTTGGAGGCACAGCCAGATTTGTCAAGCTGTACAAGCCTGTTGTAAGTTCTATATTAAATTTCCGAATGGACTTAAATATCATAGCCCCAATAAATTTCAAAGAATCTCATGTCGTCATTATTTGTTTGATGTGATCAAACCATGCTATTTACAACGGAACATTGGTCGTATTATTTCATGAAGTTTCATGGAATAATATAAGTGAGTTCACTTATACTGCTTCAGTTCTAGGCCATTTTGGTCTCGAAGTCATCTCGTTCACTACAAGACAGACAACTTCGTGAAATCCACTAATAATAGGTGATATAGGAATAAATCAGTACCATTTTATACCTAGGGTGAGTCCACAAGTTCATCAATTCATGCATACTATGAACTAACTTGTTGCTTACGCAACTAACAATAGCTAGCAGGCTGAGTCACAATTAGCAACAGCCGCCATCGTAAAATTCCTCAGTAAGCTTGCCTGAGTAGATGACACTAAATGCTTTAGACACGCTTAAACCTTTGCTTACATGAACTCAATATAGTACAGATGTGGTCACTGACGATGATTTTATTAAAGACATTTCAAAAGACAATAATTCAAAATATTCCACTGTCAAGGAACACTGTTGTTTCAAGAATAAATAATTCATCTCAAAATTTGGTTCTTCAACAAAATTGAAACGAATCGGCTGAAAAACTTTCAGAACTACCACACCTTCTGATCTTTTTTTATTCAAACTGAACCCATAAATACGGTTGAAAAAACGTAGGAAGAGTTATGAAACTGAAACCCCCAGACACATAGCTGTAAGAAAAAATTAACATTTTGAATATATAAAGAGAAGACAGAAAGGAGGATCAGGGATAGTGAAGCATATTCTGAAATCAACTGGTTATCACGCAATAAAATGAAGTGAAACAAAAATTGTCATCAATAAATCTCTTGGAAGAAATGAGGAGACTCTGGAAATCCGCATGTATTATTCACAACTTCAGAAAATTATGGCATAGAAGAATATAAACTCTTTTCGATGAAGTCGTATCTATTGATTTATTACATTGACATTCAGTCAAAATAAATGGTAGTAGAAGCAAAGGACTGTTCTCAGACCAATTTTTTCTGTATACATGTAAATGGACTATTTTCTATTAAGAATACTACAAGGGTTATCAGCTTTGCTGATATTAATATCATATTCTATATAGGAAATGGTTGGGATGGGGTAAAGAATACTGCAGAAAGTGATCTAGCGTTAGTAAAGGAATGGTTTGATTGTAAAGAACGCGTTTTCCACCATATGAAAGTTACTAGATATCTCTGATTTCAGCTCATTAATAATAATCAGTGAACTAAAGATAACTCAGACATATAAAATATTTTTTTAATAATAATAGCTTCATTTATACATGAATACATTGAATATTATAATAATTTGAAACAGTGACATTAAGAATTGCAGTACAAACAAAGACAGAGATACCCACTAAAACCGAAGTTGTGCGTGGGACTCCTATTACTAAATGCATAATTAATGAGCTGACTTGAGAAACAATACAATTATTTGTAATATAGCGTACTGTATACATAAAATAGTTAGAAGTATATATTAGAACGATGTCCCTATTAATATTGAGTGCTCACTTTTGAAGATGTTTTTCAGTAGGTCAATATTATTTATTATATAAATGTAGGTCTTTGTACATGTTCAGTAAGAAGTTGAATATTTTCCTACTCTGGTATTTGTATGAGTGTTGAACAGTGGATTATTTTGTTGTGTTCACTTGCACATCACCCTTTGATTTAGTGCGGGTATTATAATCGTGTCTAATTGGTCGAAGTGTCATTTCGTTTTTGTAGATACGCAAGATCAAGTTCTACATGTATATTTGTCTGATATCGAGTAGCTTTGAGTCAATGAAGATTTGATCAGAAGAATAGTAATTTTTTTGTGGTACAAGATTTTGAGTATTTTTCTTTGTAGTACTTCAGCTTTCTCAAAGTGGATATCTAAAATACGACCCCAGCTCAGTATAGCATACTGGAGTCGAGATTGTACAAAGGCGTAGTATACTATTTTAATGTGATCTCTAGATCTCAGCGATTTCGAGATCTAGATAATATGTTCATTCCACCTAAGATGAGGATGTATTATAACTCCCAGGTATTTAATTTGGTCTGCTCGTGAAATTTCCATGTTTTTTTTGTGATTATTCAGTATCAGTTTTTCATAGTTTGGGTGTCATGATCGATTCTCACCAGAGATGGAATCACCATGTTGAATATGTCGTGAAGAAGTGGAGATGTGTCTTGTTTAAGTTTTACAATTGTAAAATATTATGTCTGACTCACTGAATGAATATGTTGATTGATTTTTCCAGCAAGTAACAAAGGTATTTTAAGTAGCACCCGATTGTCGCTGAAGCCAGAAGAAAAAATCTGAAATATGAATCTGAACCTAATTCACGAGTAACATCCTGTATGTGTATTCATGTAGACTATCGAATATGACATCTGGACATTTCATCATTTTGACGTATGTTGAAACAAATACAGATGTTGCCAATTGTATCTATGTAGGTACTACACATAGCTGGATAACACTATTTGTCAGATTTTTTCATGGCTCTTGCCACTCTTCTACCGCCACAATTTCCTTATGGAAGTTCTCCTATATAATTTGATTGTTCCAACGACTTTCAAAAGAGTTTTATCTGAAGATAGGTAGTCTATTCTTGACCTAATGTGAAATAATCATATATAATCAGGATATTTCAACACTGAAATAATATAACAAAATATTTCCAATGATTTGAAGGAAAAATTCTTCATTTCACCAACTTAAAAAAATTCAATTACGCAATATGTCGAAAACAAAATACTCCTGGATAAAATAATCTCCAGGTTTATAATGATTACAATCTGATTGAGCTTAAGTTAAGTACTAATAAATTTTTATTGGATTGTGACATATATTAATACGAATACTTCTTTAATCTAGAAATAAATAACTAATATCTAGTCAAATGAGTTGTTGGTTGAACTTCGATTATTGTTTTGACGGGAAGATTCAGATCATATGGTCGACGCGACGTACTGATGACTAATCTAAAATAGCTTTTTGATTTGAAATCTTTTATTTTTCATTATTAAATCGAATCTATTATTTATAATACAACATTGTGCTCAAACCATTGTGATATTCGTTTTTTTCGTAATTATGATATATAGTCATATTTCTGTAACACGTTATTTGACAACTACTTTGAAGTGTTTCTATAATTACGGTGAACTGGATGATGATACTACCGACAAAATAAAAAATAGTCTAGATTTGATAAAAGTGTTGAAAGGGTTTAAGTAGCTGAAACTTTTTTAATAGACTCATCATACAAAAATGAATGTTTTTCTTACAGATGATTTTCAATATGCCGTCAATATTTTGACGGCAAGTTTATAGTTCCATCGGTGGAAATGACTGGAAATGGCTTTTAAAGAATCATGCATTCCATGGATTGAGAATGCGTTGGCGTATAAGTTTGTGCGAACCTTTTTCCGAATGATGTTTGAAAGAATAATTTCCGGTTTTATCAAGTAGGCTTAGTTTTCCTTGATTTGTGACACTGTTACGTGTTAATTTACTTTTTTTTATGATTTTCGTTAAATTAACTAGAAAAAAAAAATATACAACTTCGATGTTTATTTATTTATTGTTATGACATTTTTGAAATAGTGCTTCCATGAGATCCGTTAAATTCTAAGTTTTTGTAACCTGAAAATAATACGCTCTGTATATTCAATTGCATCTAGTTATCATTCAATCACTTACCATCAATCAGTTCTTGTTTATAATTGCCTTGTAGTAATTGGTGCTTCGAGTGTTCTCTGAGATTCCTGTGGAATACAAATACGAGAAATAAATAACCTAACATTCTCATATTTAGTTCTTCAAAATATACATTCACATCACTGTTGAGTTATATTGGCAATCTGTGTCACTTCTGTTAAGTTCATATCATTGAAAGGTTTGATTAAAAGGGTTCACCTGTGACGTCATTGAAGATGATTTTACCCCGAACAGACCGTCTGTGACATCAATAACCATGACGACCAGATAACCGCAATAATTAACCCATTTCATGGGATTGCGAAATAAAACTGACTAGATGACAAGTTGACATACCTTTGAAAGGGGGATATCCTGTTCTTTTTTTTGATCATCACGGCACATGGCAGGAGCTGAATTTGAGAATTGTGCTCACATCTTGGATGGATTTGCCTTATACGTATTAGGAGGTGAATATAAGAGTTTCTTATTCTTGAGAAAAGAAAGAAATATCCACTTCAGTGTTTTGGGATTTGAATTATTCTATCTTCCTAATCAAGCCGTAATCGTTAGACCTCACTTCAGGCCGTCCACTATATACAGGTACATCTTCCACTAGCTTGTCAACTATCCATTGAGAGGTATCTTAATAGGCACCTCTCCCAAATAAAACTGGAACTTGGCACAGAATTGTTCGTATAACCTTACTTTGTTTCAGGCCTTTTCATTTTTGGCCCCTTTCGCTTTATCTCTTCGTTGTACGTTGGTTACATCTTGACGATTAGCTTATTGTTACCTTTGTTACGGTACTACAAGAAGTCTCTGACAACCAGGAAATCATTGATTACAACTATAATACTTACCACAGAATCTCAAGATCATTTATGAACACACCAGATCTCTACAAAGTTTCGAACGAAGAGAATATCCATTGGAGAAAGATATACGCTGGCAACACCTTGATCAGGCGAGCTCTTTCCATTATTTCTATTGCTTTACTTATATTAATATTACACCTTTTGTTGCTTGTCAATTATCCTGTTTATTGGTTACATTTGAATGCTGCTATTTGGCTGTGAAGCCTTATCTACCAGTGATTCTGAAAGAAAGAATACAACTAACTAAATATCACACCTCTGAGATTATATTTACTTACCACTTACTAGTTTATATATATGTAAACTCTGATGTATATATACATAGGGGTATCAAATGATCATGTCCTTCTCCCCATGCTGAATGATTCAATGTTAAATCTATATGTAGTTAAGTCTACTTGCAACTTGCACAACGAATAAATCCACTTCCTATCACACGAGAGTATTTCTTCCACGACCCACTCTCCGAAAGTAGCTAACCACAGTATTTTAATCAGTAAAAACCCCATTATAGCCCCCAAACGTTGCTCCTATCATTTAGAGGCGTTTGCAGGTTATAACACGGTGCAATGTCTTGGTGAAACAGCAATTACTTTTTCTTGAATGGGGCCGTTTTCCGCGATTTCGTCCTTCAAATGCTCCAATAATGCTATGTAATAGTCGCTGATGATTATGAATATTATACCGTGTGCATGTGCACCACGTGCAGTCCACTCAGATGACGATTTTGATTCTGGTGGATAGAGCCATGTTTCATCCATAGTCACATAACGGCTCATCAATTGGGGTTATGGTGGAACAGCTTCAAACAGTGCTCAGAATCATCAATTTTTTGTTGTCATTGATCGATTGTGAGCTCGTGCGGCACCCATTTCGAACAGAGTTTTCGCATATCCAAATATTCATACACGATATGTCCAACACGTTTCATCGGTAACAGCGTCCTTGGGACTTTCACTGCGAACATCGTCCTCAGCATTGGGACTGATTTCACCTCGTTTGAACCTTGCAAACGGTTGTTTTTTCTGGTGCGAATCAATGGAGTCCGAATGATGTTGATCAGACCAAGCCTTAGGTTCAACAGTATTTTTTTGCGAAAATGCAATGCTTTCTGGCGAAATTCATTTTTATCCATTTCATCATTTTATTTTAGCAAAAGTTGCTTCACTCATACTAATAGTCCGACAGCTGTGAAAGTGACTTTCGAAACTTAGGGACAAATGAAAATCATATGAATTTAATACTAGTAACACCATCTGTATATTAACTTACGAACTTTTCAGCACATTTACCTGACTTGCTGAATAGGGTGCATTATGATACTATCATTCATCTTGCGAGTTTTTACGATTTCAAATGAAAATGTCCGGTATTCAATGGATGATTCGGTAAATACAGCTACGTCTACCCATGCTCCATGCTCTCTTCACGAAATTGGCCACAGTAAAGGTCTCATGATTATCAAATTTTTGTTAGAAAATATATACTTGAATTTTTTGAAATCCAATTGTCTTAACCATTTTTTATTAGTTTGATAGATCACTTAGCTCACTTCACACACTCGACGTGAATTCCACGAATTAACAGTACCTAACTGAGTTTGTAAAATCCAATTTGGGATAATGCTAATTGGATGGTTAGAAAAAGTGAAAGTGTTTTTTCCGTACAGTTACCAAAAACTGATTTGAAAAAATGTGAAATACATTTCTGAACCTGAAATTTTTCCACTCATGGTGAAAACATATGTATAGGGGTGGACGTTCAACTCCCTTGCTCCAAGCATATTCTACAATAGTATCAACTTTTTTTTTCAGAAGTACTGATGGTACTTTCAGACTGTCGATTTTTATTTCACATCGTTCAATATCAAAACGAATGACACCCGGAATCAGTGTTATAGGACAGTGTTTATGACAACATAAGGCTCACAAACAATTCCTATAGATATTCATTTAGGGAACGTACATTTACATACAGTTTTCAATGATATTTTTTGTCCACGTTGAAAACTACTCAGTATGCCAAATTGTCAAATTGATAATACTGCCATTGAGAATTATAACGATGAATAAATTGATGCTCATATTATTGAATTCCTGACTGCTGACAACTGAATTTGAAATATTATTCAACCAACCCAGTTTTGTTCAGGCAAAATCAATTCAAATCATACCAGATATGATTAGACAGTTGCAAGCCTTCCGTACAAAACTTTCACCATCAAAAAGGAGGTTGAAAACGTTCAGACAAATCGAATTCTATACCTTGACGTGAACAATCATGATAGTCCAGTCATTATAGTAAGTTCACCTCGGAATTCGAGATACCCAGCTGTAAGTCAGTAAATACATGTATATTGACACCCTAAAAGTTGTCTCAAAACCTACATATGGTAGAGTGTAAGCAACTATTAAATTTCAAGGTCAAAGGTCACAAAAATCGGTTTTTTGCGCTTTTTTTGGAAATATCACATTTCCTATGGGTTTTTTGCTATTTGTATTAAAAATTTGTAGAGAATTTTGTATTCTACAATATCGATAGTGAATACAAATAGCAAAAAACCCATAGGAAATGAGATATTTCCCAAAAAAAGCGCAAAAAACCGATTTTTGTGACCTTTGACCTTGAAATTTAATAGTCGCTTACACCCTACCATATGTAGGTTTTGAGACAACTTTTAGGGTGTCAATATACAAGTATTTACAGACTTACAGCTGGGTATCTCGAATTCCGAGATTCTTTCCTAATTTAAGCTTAAATGACTGGATTACTACCACCGCGGCCGATTCCACAACTTGAAACAAGATATTCATTTAAAAGCATCAGTCATCAAACTAGGATAATCACTGTTCAGGATTGAACAGCTCAGAATTGTATTAGACATTCAAGATATGACAACAATCGTTTACCCACTTACTGTAACTTATTTCCAATATGGAATAGCAGCTTGAAGTGACGCTCACAGTATTCATTTGAAGCAATAATAAAAATGGGTGACTGTAAAAAACATACCAATCCCAGTGACATTTTCCACAAACTGAGTGGTCTGATGGATATTAAATGCTAATGATTCAACATAAACACAGGAGAGAAACTGACCAGTATTCAGCAGTATTACGACACTAGACATAATATAGCAAACAGACAATGACAATAAAAAATGTATTACAATAAAAAGTCACTTTTCTCGGGATCACATATTTATCGTAAGTTTTCGATAGAAATGCGAGAACTATAATTGGAAAAACACTTCAGAAGGGAACCGAAGATGTGGTTAAAAATGAACCTAGAACGAATATATTGAATATATTCATTGAAGAATAAGAAGGGTGATAATTTGATATCATCTTTGATCTGGATGTTAAATCAACTGAAATCATCCGGAATATGAAAAAATTAAAATATGTTTGGGTGTGCATGCATGTTGGTATTCATGGTGGTATGCGTGGGTGTGCATGTGTGTACATATTTATGAATTCCAAAATAAAAATAACTGTTTCGAATGTAAATTTTTTTTCTGTTTGAAAAAATCTGTTTCAAATCTATTTTTTCGTTAACCAGCTGTCGCACTCCTGGTCCTAGTCTTGAACCACCGACCAACACGGCAGTCAATTCGAGTGAGTGAACAAAACACCCACGTCGAACCGCCTGGCTACCGACCGACCTTCAATTTATTCCATATATTAACATGTTAGCCCACAATATAACTTTCATTCACAATCCATGAAATTTAACTTGAATGATATCTCAAAACATGAGAAAAAAATAAATGCAAACTTCAATCCTTGCACTAGTCGCGTGACGTCGGTGGTTTTCTTATTAATTTATTTCCATTCCAGTTGGAATTGTTATGAAAGAATAGAAAACCGTTTGTCTTCATATTTTTGCATCACTATTCATGTGTCGGTACAGTATTGCGTTTTCTACAAAATGATGATATAAATTGAAATGTAGATGACAATGACTCAAAATATTTTTCCAATACGGGTGCATCAACTGAACTGAATCTTCAATTAATCACGCTTGTATAAAATAGATCTCAAACCCGATATTTTCAAAAGTGACATAACCAGTCACTATTTATTGCTCCTGTCGATCACAAGTAATCCTGGAATTGGCAATTGCTCAGGTTGTTTCGAAATATTTGTCTCCTCAAATCCCGAGTACGCAATTCTCATGCTAACAAAATTAATCGAATTGTGCTACTTTGGCGAAGGTGCACTGATTTAAATAGCGCTTACTCGATTGAATTCAATAGGTTTTCACTGAGATTTAACAGTTTGAAGTAGACTCATAAAAATGAACAGAACTTTTGAAATAACATAGTATATGTGAATCTAAAAGTACACATGAATTTTCAAATCATTACAAGTTAGAAAAATATTATAGAAATGGAACGTGGAAAACAGTAGGTACTTCAAATCAAATCACCTACATAAAACCCACGAAGTATTTTTTAATAAATCATTTGAAAACTTTCAAAAAAGAAAATGGGAGTGAATACATAAAATTGAAGAAGCGCAATATCACATGAAAAAATCTAAGAGAATATAATTGAATCAACAAACAGCGGAATTAAATGGAATTTGAATATTGTGATATTGTAGCGGATAATGAACTTGAACTTCCATCGAATACAGAAACAGCTAATTACTTCAATATGTTTTCTGTTGAAATTGCAGATGAAAATCAAAAAAATTGAGGAACCGGATAATCCAATTGTTGAAAGTGATATAAATATATGCAATTGATTATTTCTCCAACCAATAATAAGTAACCCACACAGCACCAGATCATGGAATATTTCCTCTATTTCATAAAATGGACGTATTTATTCCAAATTTTCATAGAATATTCTTGGAATATATACATACCTTCAGAATATTTATAGAGTATGCTTGAATGAATATGACACGAACGCACTGTTTGTAAAATGTCAGTTGATTATTCAGGGTCACTGTGATTCATTTGGTTTGCAAACGTTATTTCTGGATTCAAAGTTTGATTTGATTGTCCTGTTATTTCATTTCTGGACAATTGCTTTTATATATGCATATATTTTATTTGAAGTGAAATCGTTAATACCTGGTTTTCCTCTGATGTAGGTGGGTGGTGTGTTTTCTAAACTTCGAAGCTGGATCTGGGAAATCGAATTAGAACTCGATTTATCAGGTTGGTTTTCACTGAATTTACTTTTACTTATTAATATTCAATACAATAATATACAATGTCTTCTCCAATTTTTCATAAAAGATATCGATTTGATTTCATCCCACATTTATTTATAAACTATATCGGTTATCTGTTTTTCGAAATTTATTGAAATTTACTACACGAATCTTGAAATTTGAATTACCCACTCTTTTGTATTTGTTTCCTGCCAAGTCCGTGAACTTCAATACATGTTCAGGGTGTCCTCGCTATACTCCTGTATATGAACTTTTCTGTGATGTTGTGAATATCTCTACACATTGTTGTTTAGGAGTCTTTTTATAACAAATACCTCAAGTATTAGATATATTTTTTTTAAATAAACAAAAAATATATCTCGTACTTCCAATTATGATTAATTATTCATTTATATAAGCAATTATGTTTGCTTATATAAATAAATATCATTATTCTTAAAAATTCCTCTAATTCTTTCATCATTTGAATACTTTAATTTATAATTATTCATATTATTCTCACTTACAATTTCATATGGTCCTTCAAATATAGGAAGTAACTTTGCACATTTGTTCTTCTTAAAATCTGTTACTCTATTAGTTCCTATCAATACTAATTGACCTTTTTTAAATATTATATTTCTATGTCTTTTTTTATTATTTATTCTCTTTTAATATCTCCTACTGCTTTTATATTCGTACTTCTGTTGAAATGTTTTTAAATGATTAATTTTCTTCTTTCAGCCATTTCCTGAGAGGATGTTGTCCCATCATTAAAAAATATGGACTGATTTCTGTGACTGTGTGTGTTAAATGTTTGAGATATTTCTCTACCTCTGGTAAATTCTTTTCCCAACATTGATGATCTTCTCTTGACAATTTTTTGACAAATTTATTCACCTCTTGAATATATCTCTCAGATGGGTTTGAATCTGGATATCTTATACTGGTGAATATTAATTTTATTTCATTTTTATGACAAACATTTACAAATTTATCATTTTGAAAGTATGAAGCATTATCTAAAATACATTTTTGTGGTCAACCTATTCCATTGAAATATTGTTGAAGACAATTTGTTATCACTTGTACATTAGTTCTCTTACAAGGATATGATTTTATAAATTTTGTGACGATGTCTACAATTACAAGAATATGTTTGTTTCTATCCGTGGTTGTTATAAGTTCACTAATAAAATCCATGGCAATTCCTTCTAATTTATTCGCGGTAATTATATTTCTTGGAATATTTGTATTAACAAAATTTTAACTTTTATATAATTGGCAAATATTACAATTATTNTTTATATGAATTATTTCAGAATCATACTCTTGCAAGTAATACACCTCAATGTATTCTCTTATTCAACAATTTATCATTCATCACATGTGACAGATCATGTGATCTGCCTCAATAATGAATTTTGATCCCAGTAAGTAAAATCTTAATTGAGTAATAAAAAAGATAATGCTTGCAAATTATAGTTTCGTTATATTATAGTGTTGTTCATATGTTTTGGTCACTCTTGACACAAAACATATGGGTACCTCTTCTCCTTGCTGTACTTGCAATAATACTCCGGCAAGTTCAAACGTTGATGCATCAGTTCTTAAAATGAATGGTAACTTATAATTTGGATGATAAATTTTGAAATTAGTAGCAAATTCTAATTTGATAGTGTTAAAAGCATTTTCTTGTTCCTGTATCCATTTCCATTTGTTGTTTTTCTTTAACAATTCTACTAAATTCAAAGTTTTTTCACTAATATCTGGCATTAATTTTTTGAAGTAATTTAAAATTCCCCTTACCTATTGTTTTTTAATTTGTTGGTTTTTTATATTCCATAATGGCTCTTATCCTCTCTCCATTTATACTTATACCTTCGGTGTCTAATTTATATCCTACGAAAGTCACTTCTGTTTGATAAAATGTATATTTGTCAATATTAATTTCCAATCCTGCTTCATCCAATTCATTTATGAATAATTTAATATGTTTCAGGTGACTTTCCCAGTCTGTGGAATATATTAGGATGTCAATATGATGAAGAATAAATTCATTGTATTTATCTAAAATTGTATGGATTGTCCTAACTAAAGCTGAAGAAGAACTCTGCAAACTATATGGAACTACTCTGAATCTAAACAAGACTCCATCTATTGAAAATGCTATATAAACCCTACTGTCTTTGTGAAGTGGAATTAACCAAAAACTATGTTTTGAATCTATTTTAGAAAATATTTTTGCATTTGTGATGTTTCCGAAAATCGCATCAATATTCAAAGGTGCCTCATATTGAGGTGTGTTGTATTTATCATTATTTCTAGCATCCAAACATAATCTTAATTCACCATTATTTTCGTTCAACTATAATAAGATTAATGTATTTTGAATTGAATCTTTCAATTATTTTCTGTTTTATCATTTTTGTTATTTCTTGTTGAACTTGATTTCGATATTGATAAGGAGTAGGGTTTGTTTCAGATTTGAAATTTTCTATTCCTTTAACCTCTATTTTATGAACGTATTCGTCTGTTACTCTATTCTCATTATTAATTAAATTTACTTGAATTTATTTACTTGATTTATAATATTATTATTCATTTCTGAAGTAAGTTTTTTCAATTTCTATAAATTACCTAGGATGTTGGTGAATTTCTGCATATTGTATTTTGTTAAAATTTGTTGTTGGTAGATTGCTTACTGAAAATTTCGTGGATTATTTGAAGTTTCCCCCTAATTGTGTGTCTGTTGTGTATCTGTCCTATTATCATTTTGTAAATGTAAATGTAAATTCCACATTAAATGACAATCGATGAAGACGCCCAAATATTTGATTCTTTCTACTGATTGAATTTTGATGGGTAGACCTTGAATGTTGACCTCAAAATTGTTGAAGGGAACGTGTCTTGATTTGTTGCACGTGAATGTCATGTAATTCGTTTTTTCTAAATTTACTGTGAGGAGTTTGTTTCTAACCAGGTTTTAATACGACTAAAACCTTTTTCTGCTTTTTCCTTAAGAGAAATCCAGCTCTCGTCTTCATATAATATAACTGCCTCATCAGCAAATCTTATTAAATCCCCACCACTCTCTACCGCAAAAAAACATTTATATATATATTATATATATAAATAAGAAAAATCAACAGCCTGAACAGACAACTGAAGAAAATGTAGAAGAAATGCAGCAAATAGGTGACACCAGAATAAAAGAGCCTACAAGACAATCATCTATGGACATGAATGAATTGTTCGAAAGATTAGAAAGAATGAGGGAAGATGAAACAGAAAGACTGGAAAGAATAAGACATGAAGATATGGAAAGATTAGAAAGAATGAGGAAAGAAGAAACAGAAAGCAGGAATGAAGATGTGAAGAAGCTATGTAAAAAAATAGATGAACAGGCAAATGATGTGAAGAAATTAGAAGAAGAAATTAAAATAAATCATATTAATCTGGAAGAAGAGTTAGAAGAGTATATAATGTCTATAGAAGAAAAGGTAGAAAAAATTTCACAGGAGATGAAAGATCATATAAAAGAAAGCGAAGGACAAAGTGACTAGGTACATGGAAAAATAAATATTGTAGAAAAAGTATTGGTGCAGAAAATCAATACAAGGAGAGAAGAAAATGAGAATTTGAATAAAAAAATTATTAAGGAAAATAAATTAACCAGGAAAAGTTTAGAGAACAAAAAAATAATATGAATGAAAAAGTAATAGATATCAACAATAAAATGAAACAAACGGAGAAAAACCTAATTAATAGAGAAGTAGACCAATTATAGCAATAGCAAATGAAAATTAATTGATTTTCAACGGTAACATAAAAAAGCAACATCCAATACCATTCATAGAATATATTAAAAACAAATATGAAAGTTTTACCTTCCAAAAAATCAAAGAACTCATTACGAGTCAACTACAAGATGAGGCATTATTGTGGTTTAACTTCCTGACATAAATACGCAATGCAAATATATAACTCTTCACAATATTTGAATTGTCCAACACTTTGATAATAATCTTGAGGAAACAATGATGCTTTATAATTTCAACGACATGGATAGTTTTTGTCAATTCTCAATGACACAGGAAAGACGGAGAAATAATTATGATAATTTACAAAATGGAGTGAATAATAGTAATAACCAACAAGATTATCGTAATAATGAAAACAACAACTATAATAACAGAAATTCTTATAATCAAGCATATATGAGACAACATACCAATAGAAATTATAATAATGATTATGCCAATAACAGATACAATAGTAATAATAGACAACAAAATGATAACAATCGCTATAATAAGAATAATGTTCACAATAACAATAATCATAGTACACAACGAAACAACTATAACAGAGATAATAATAAAAGTTATCACAAATTCGTACAAAATAGACATAATAACAATAATAACAGATATTACAACAATAATAATAATATATACAGACGAAGAGGTAGAAATGTAGATAGGGACAGTGACAGAGACGATAGGGCTTATAATAATGACAGACAGGACTATAGAAATAGACAACAAAGAAGAAGTAGCAGTGCAGAGGAAAACAGACATATAAAAAACGAATGAAAGATAATTAATATACCTCATAAAACAATTAAAAAATTAAAAATCTGTCGGATTAGATAATATTTAATCAGAAACAATAATTTCCCAAATAGTCGAACCACTCGCGTACATATTCAATACTTGTATCAAAATTGGTCTATGGCCAACCGCCTTCAGAAACTCTGTTGTCACACCTATACACAAAATAGGCGATAAATCTAAGATCGACAACTATAGACCTATATTATTAATAACTCACCTGTCCTAACTTTTCAAAAAGTTATTGAAAAACAGATTGATATCTTATCTTGAAAAATACTGTATTATCTCGAATCACCAATTTGGCTTCAAGAAGAATACATTCACAGAAGACGCAATTCATGAACTGACCAAAAAAATCAACAGTGCTGTTAGTGAGAATGAAGCATGCTTATGCCTATTCATACATCTGTCGAAAGCTTTCGACATTGTAAACCATCCCTTACTCTTGCATTCTCTAGAATACATTAGCTTCCGAGGAAATTCACTGAAATTATTCGAAAGTTATTTCTTATATACACCATACTTGGTATTTTCTTCGATACTCAGTATGTTGTCAATTCTTACTACTTGCTTTCTCTTTGAGAAATGTTATTTTGTTAAATGAAAATTTTTATTCAACTAGACTCTAATGTTGAGTTTAAATCCTATAACTTTTGTTTTTGTTATTTTGTTAAATGAAAATTTTTATTCAACTAGACTCTAATGTTGAGTTTAAATCCTATAACTTAGTGTATTGAGATTTTTCTCAACACCTCAGGTGAATTCAGGCACAAACATAACGATTACTCTCCAAAATTTGATCTTACTTGCAGATGTTCCTATGAATAAAATTTGAAAAAGACACAACTGATTTCAGAAAATGTAGAACAATTTTAATAATACATGTGAAAAATGTTACATTCAAAAATATATAAATTACCAAACGAGAAAATTTCTAATTCTAAAAAAGTTCTAAACCTACACCGAACTAATTTAGTGTGGATATCGGAAAGCACTCTTTGTCTGTGAAATGTGAGTTGATTATTCAGGGTCACTGTGATTTATTTGGTTTGCAAAAGAAATTTCTGGATTCAAAGTTTGATTTGATTGTCCTGTTATTTTATTTTTGGACAATTTTTTTTATATAGGCATATATTTTATTTGAAGTGGAATCGGTAAATACCTGGTTTTCCTCTAATGTTGGTGTGAGGCGTGAGTTTTCTAAACTTCGGAGCTGGATCTGGGAAATCGGATTGGAACTCGGTTTATCAGGTTGGTTTTCACTGAATTCACTTTCACTTATTGATATTCAATACAATTATATACAATTAATAACTTTTTTCATAATATTTTTTAAATTTCTGGGGACAAAAATTTTCGTGTCGTTCACCTGCAATCCCTATCTTCTGCTAAATCGAGTTGGATTTCAAATCCCTGACTCTTTAGTTAGAACTCCGAGAGGTGCGTTGCACGGTCGAGACTAAGTTCTTGCCGCCGTGTTCTTTGTTGAACTCTGTTCAACTCGTAGCTTCCTGAGGTTACTAGCCAGTGACCTCACCTCGCGGAGATGCGAGGCCTTTTGAAGCGGGAAGGGTCGTTGATATCATAATCTACCGCGGCCCTGTCTAGGGGGTTTTCGTGAGTTTCCGTTATTTCGAAAACTCCTCTATTTCGAGTCTGTATACTCTCCCGAATGGTTGGGAGATTCAGATCCCGTGAAGTTTGCGTTCCGTAAATACCACGGAGCGTTTGTTGCCATCCTTAGTATTTTATTCTGGACCCGTTCCAGAATTTCGACGTGAGTTTTCGCTGTGTGTCCCCAGACTCCTGAGGCATACATAATCATTGGTTTAAACACAGTCTTATAAAGTAAGACTTTGATTTTAAGACTTAGCTTACTCTTGCGGTTGAATAGGGGATATAACTGTGCCATCCCCGCACTCACTTTAGTCTTCACCGATTTTATATGCTTCTCCCAGGTGAGCTTGCGGTCTATCGTTAGACCTAGGTACTTAACCTGTGGGCTCCAGGCGATTTCTTGTCCTGCCATGATAACTCTGAGATTTAGGTGGGCGCTTTGCCTGCCTAATGCTATCGCTTGCGTTTTTGCGGGGTTCACACGGATTTTCCAGTCCAGGAACCAGGTCTCGAGAGCTGCAACTGCAGTCTGCATGTAGGCTACCCCGAATTCTCTCGACATGGACGAGGACATCAGGGCCGTGTCATCTGCATAGAGAGAGACCTCGACGTGGTCGGTTCTCGGGAGATCGCTGACATATAGGTTGTAGAGTGTGAGTGAGAGTACTGCTCCGTGAGGCACTCCAGCTTCTATTTGTCTTACCGGCGAGCGTATGTTGTTAAGCTTCACCAAAAAAGTTCTGTCCTTCAGGTAGGACCTCATCCACTTGACTAGTCCCAGTGGTAGGTTGAAATTAATCATTTTGTGTAGAAGACCTTCGTGCCGGACGCGGTCGAAGGCCTTCGAGATATCTAATAGTAGTATTTGAACGTGTCTTTTCCTATTCATCTCTTGGATTGAGTTTTCAACCAGTCTTAGGGCTAGTAGTTCGCAGGAATGATCTCTCCTGAAGCCGAACTGCTCGTCCGGTAGGAGTTGTCTGTCTTCGATCTCCTCGTCTAACCTTTGCAGGATTACTCTCTCCGCGACCTTGGCCATGGAGCCTAGCAGACTTATGGGTCTGTAGTTTTGGGGGAATTTCAGGTCTTGTCCTTTTTTTGGTAACATTATAATCACTGCGTGCTTCCAGCTCTTAGGGAAGTATCTGAGATTCAGCAAGCTGTTGATAATGTTTTTGAGCGTCGTATTTTGGTTGTCTAGCAGCTGTTTCAATAACCTGTTGGTTATTGCGTCAGCTCCTGGGGCTTTTTTGGGCTTGGTGGCGCGAATCAGTTCGTTCAGTTCTTCTTCTGATACTGGTCTGATGACGTCTTCTTCATTGAGTAACAGTGTTTCTTCCACTGCTTCCTCGATTCGTATATCTCTATCAATACCATCGTTTGGGTCTATGTTCAGCCTAAATTGGCTTTCCATAGTATCCGCGAAGGCTAAGGCTTTGTCTTCCGTTGTGAAACAGACACCTCTTTGGCCGTGTATTAGCGTTGAGGTTTCTCTTTTGTTTTTTCTACTCTTGACTAATCGCCAGAGAGAGTTATCTCCGGGTTCGAGTCCCAAGAGGTATTCTTGCCAGCGTTCATTCCTGAAGTCTAGAATGGCGCGTTTTACCTCACTGGCTTTCGCATTCGCATTGGCTCTATCTCCTGGAAATAGAGTCCTGTGGTATCTTCTTCTGAGACGGTTTCTTTCTCTGATTAGAGTTTTGATCCGTCGAGGAAATTCATTGTATGATTTCCTTGGTTCCACGTACGTCATGGTAACCGCTGCGAGTGCATTTCTGATGTTTTCCTCAAACCGTGTTACCGTAGCATCTAAGGCTTCGGGGGTTTCCGGAGGTCGTTTTATGACGGGGATTGCTTCCA